AATAGGCAGTATCACATCTTTTGTAGCAGAAATGAACTGCTGCAGAAAAAGCTAGGTCCATGCAAAATTTAATGTGTAACTGCAACACTCATTTCAAATGTAGTGGAGTAAAGAGTACAGATACTCATTCAAAAATGTAGTGAAGTAAAGAGTAAAAGTGGCTAATATCTTTGATCCTCAGTACAACTACAAAGTACCCGAAAAGATACTCAAGTACAGTAACTAATTACATTTACTCCAATACTTTACACCTCTGGTCGTTTGGATAGTTGTGCGTAAGATTGCACTGTTTGCATCAGGCACAGTAAACTCCACGGACAGGCATGCACTACAGTTCTGCTGCTCTCAGCGTGTCCCAGCTATTTAGACTTCACTCTCGGAAATAAAGGCTCCTGACACAAACGAAAAAGAATGCAATTTATTTTACAAGAACTTTTTTATGTCATGCAGTTTCACCTCGAGAGGTTTTTACAGCAAAAGTGGTTCTTGATCATCTAAGAACCGCTGAATAACCTTTGTGTAGAAGAGAGTTTGACCAGCTGTCCTGAAACAGGTGCACTGGAAAGTACAGCCTCTTCCTTCCTGATTAAGGATTAGTCTGTGATGATGAATGTACCTGAACAGCTTGAAATGCAAAGTTTGTAAGGGAAAACTTGAAAAAAAAATTGATACGAAGACTGAATCGTTTCTAATCATTTATTTAGTGAGCATCGTCTTTTTAGCTGTGTAACAAACTTGTATCACGTCAGTATTTTTCTGTTTCTCTTGAGCATAGATCTCGTGCACCTTAATGAGTTGATTTTTTCCTCAGTAATTAGAGTTTACAGAGCGAGTTGGTAATAGGGCACACCAACTTAACTTTGTGGGGATAAAGCATAAAGCTGCGGATATATTATGTGACAGTGTGTTGAAGTCATGCAAACTACGGGACATTATAGTTTTGATACATCGCAGTGCTGCAGCATTATGAAATGTTGGCCTATATAGTTTCCTCTCTGGTTAGGAGTTTTAAATAGCCGGCTGTTACGACGTCTTTTAAGAGCAAGAAATAGAAGCCAGCTAAATAGTCCTACCGGGATTTATCATCAAGACATTCTTAAATACTCAATCGCATTATCTTCTGTCCTCAGAGCCAAAAGTATAGCCTACTTGACATCCAAATGTTACACAAGAACATTTCAATTGTCATTGTTGAATTTACATGTTCGAGATGATTAAAAAAGAGAAATAACATCTATGTGCTAAGTTCTGAAATGTAATTTTTTCAAACATGCAAACAAATGTTGGAAAAAAAAAACATTTATTACACATTAACTGACTAGCAATGTCAATGTAATGTCAAGTGGAATAATAATAACAATATAAGGATATTTTCAAGATTTGTATTTATTTTTATTTATTTGTTGTTGTTGGTTTTACAAATATCATTACAAATTTTTAAATATCAAGCCTCTACATAAAAATGCCAGAATGTGTCAAAGTAAAATGAAAAAAAAAAACTTAATGACCTTGACACGCAGTTTTTCTTGTCACATGACAACAAAATGGCCTCCCAGTTATGCCACAAGAACTTTGATTTATTAAATAAAACGTTTTCAAATATTTATAATATTTAAAAAAAAAAAAATTTGTTTCAGGACTTGTTTTTACTCTTTTTTTATTATCTCTGGACAGTTACACCACCTAGACGTATTTTTCTTGAAGCCCCACAAATATTATAACACTTTTTATTTCTAAGCTGAAAACATGCTTACACAGCAGAGCTAAAGTCATATTCTGCATGAATTCATTGACCCCATTACAGTAGAACTACTAAAGTCCAGGGCCCTTGTTAAGATTCCTCCTTTCATAATCCTCTACTTTCTAAAAACTGTGTGCTTTGGAGACTAGTTTTAGCCTGCAAAGTTTGTTGGTTCATTAATTTTTTAGAGCATAAAATAGGGTCATTATAGTGTTGGAGATCTGAATGCATTGAATTCCATAAAATGATATTTTTATTATATTAATGGCTTTATTTAGAAATCCACATTCATTTTTTCTAATCATATGCCTATGTATTATTCCAAATATTATTGAAGTAATTTTTATGTTACATGATAAGGTGTCCTGAAATGTCTTTGCTTTTCAGGTGCTACCATGGAGGGCCTTGTCTGAGGTGGATTCATCATTGTACTCCTAATTGACATCTGAATTAGCATAACATTTGAGTAGTAGCAATCATGACTGAAAGGGTAACCTTCGGGGCTCAGAGGGTCTCACGGCCACAGGGCTCACTCCCGCCAGAACCCATCGACATTATCCGGACAAAAGCCAGATCCAGAAGAGTCCGGATCAATGTGGGTGGGCTGGTCCATGAGGTGCTATGGAGAACCCTGGACCGACTGCCGCGAACCCGTCTGGGGAAACTCAGAGACTGCAACACCCATGAAACTTTAATGGAGATCTGCGATGACTACAGTCTAAATGATAACGAGTATTTCTTTGACAGGCACCCAGGTGCCTTTTCCTCCATTTTAAACTTTTACCGGACTGGCAAGCTACACATGATGGAAGAGATGTGCGCTCTGTCTTTTGGTCAGGAGCTTGACTACTGGGGCATCGATGAGATCTATCTGGAGTCGTGTTGCCAGGCACGGTACCATCAGAAGAAGGAGCAGATGAATGAAGAGCTGAGGAGAGAGGCTGAAACTCTCAGGGAGAAGGAAGGAGATCAGGTGGACACGGGCTGCTGTCCAGACAAAAGGCAGAAGCTCTGGGATTTGCTGGAGAAACCCAGCTCTTCTGTAGCGGCCAAGGTAGGGCAAGCACATGGCCCACACATACACAGTTCAAAATATCAGAGTGTATTCACACTAATTTATCTAATTATCAGCCGGACTAATTATTAATTTATGACATTTTCTCTTAGGATGTTCCATTTGTGCGTCTGAGCGAACATTAGATCAACAAACTAGCACTTAAAAAAATACTGAAGAGCGTTAGCCCAAATATTCAGTTTGAAATGAATTATTAATTTGTCTTACAATGACTAGGGGCAAATTCAAGGGTAAAGTTTGGACTGCAAAATTCTGAGACTGACGCCAGCAGCGTTATGATGATATATGAAACCCAAAGAAGAATTTATAAATACACACATATCCCATATGCATTTCCCCGGCTATCGTGATTGACATATTAGCCTAGGCTTTTATGCCACAAAAGAAGAGGCATATTTTTTGTGGTATATAGCTTGCTGGAGGGAAGATTTATGGTCCTGTATGTGAGTGTGAAACTATTTTGGCTGTATTTTCCATCCGAGATGTTTGCTATTGCTCTTTATTTTGCCGATGTGGTGAGATGCTGCACGGATGACTGATATACGCATGCGTTACTTAATTAAGAATGATTAAGAATGAGTCAATAAAACAAAAACACTGTCATGGTCTGTTAAATTTAAAGATGGTGCTTTAAATATCTCTCATTGTGGATTTAAGTAAGTTTTGACTAATTATATTTTCTTACACATTAGTAGATTGTCCCGGTAGAAGGTTGTTGAGAATATTAAAATGCTTTTTCACAGCTGCTCAGGAGCTTTGTCTCCACTCACTGCCCAGTCTCAATACACAGATCGCCTACTTCCCAGAATACAGACAGGGAAAGCAGTCAGAAGAGCCATTAGTGAAATGCTTTAATGTACAGGATTTTTTTACCTTGCCCTTTGTCTCTCGAGAAAAGAGACTTTCCAAGGGGTAAATAAAAGCATTTTAAATGAACTAGGTTTGATAAAACTCACTAGAATCGTGAACAAGATTGCATTTTGCATTGTAATAATAGTAACGATGTCAGCATTTTAATTATGATAACTAGCATTCTCATTAAGTTGATCATGTGTCAATTGATTATAGATTATATTTTAACTTTTTTATATTTTTTACGTTTTAAATATATATTAACTTTGATGCCACACAAAATGTAATGTTCAACATTTGGAGCAGAATTGGTTCTGCCACACTGAACTCAGTGTAACTGAAAGTTTTGAGGAGAGAAAGGACAGATGGTAATACTCATAAACATTCCCACTAGCTGGCTCAGTGAACTCTAAGAATCAAATTAAACTTCATCCACATGTTTTCTTGGGCATATTTGTCAACAACTGTTACCTGAGCAGAAAGGACAAGGTACAGCTTCTCACTCTGATTCATTGTGTTTAACAGATTTACGTTAGCATTATGTGTGGTAGTGGGACTGGGCAGGTGGACTGGCACATTCTGCAAGGCGCACTCCCGCCAGAACCTAGCGACATTATCCGGACAAAAGCCAGATCCAGAAGAGTCCGGATCAATGTGGGTGGGCTGGTCCATGAGGTGCTATGGAGAACCCTGGACCGACTGCCGCGAACCCGTCTGGGGAAACTCAGAGACTGCAACACCCATGAAACTTTAATGGAGATCTGCGATGACTACAGTCTAAATGATAACGAGTATTTCTTTGACAGGCACCCAGGTGCCTTTTCCTCCATTTTAAACTTTTACCGGACTGGCAAGCTACACATGATGGAAGAGATGTGCGCTCTGTCTTTTGGTCAGGAGCTTGACTACTGGGGCATCGATGAGATCTATCTGGAGTCGTGTTGCCAGGCACGGTACCATCAGAAGAAGGAGCAGATGAATGAAGAGCTGAGGAGAGAGGCTGAAACTCTCAGGGAGAAGGAAGGAGATCAGGTGGACACGGGCTGCTGTCCAGACAAAAGGCAGAAGCTCTGGGATTTGCTGGAGAAACCAAGCTCTTCTGTAGCTGCCAAGGTAGGGCAACCACATGGCCCACACATACACAATGCAAAATATCAGAGTATATCCACACTAATTATCTAATTATTGGCCACACTAATTATTAATTTAGGACATTTCCACTTAGGATGTTCCATTTGAGCATCTGAGAGAACATTAGATCAACAAAGCAGCACTATTTAAAAAAATACAGAAGAGGGTTAGCCCAAATATTCAGTTTGAAAT